TACTTTCCTCATCTATAGAAAGAGGTTGTGACCACTACCAGCCAGGAATGCAGTGAAAATTAAGTGAAGGAACATGTATAAATACCCAGCCCAGTGCCTTGCAAACACCCAGTGAAGAGAATGCTTAGTATTGTTCACCCAAGTTGCTGACAAATATGCTGAACTCATCAGGGACAGGGCTCCTGCAGGAAGGCATGCTAATCCATCACATGATGCCTGCCCCTAATGACAGCCATTCCACCAGATTCACATCCATAAGAACATCAGAAGTCCTTGTCAAGTGCTGAAAATAAACGTCACCAGCACCACACTGGTCTCAGCAAACTTTCATGGAATAAAGAAGTGGAAAAGAGACAATCATCTTTCCAGAGACCAGACTTGCTGAAGTCCCCAATGTACCATGCCCTGAGCTGGGGCTGTGGAGGAGATGAAAAAAGTAAAGACTTGTTTCCTAGCCTGTGAGCTCCCAGGCCAGGGTGTGCAAGATTGAACCAAAAGCTATACTGCAGTCTTATCCCAAATGCCTCACCAACCATAGGACCTCTTGTTGTTTTGAGAACGTGAGACTGACTCCCAGCCACAGATGGAGTGTATTGAGTCAGGACAAAAGGATGGCTAAGGAAACTGGCCTCATCTGCTCCCCTATGAGCCCAATGCATGGTTGGTAGATTGAAGAATGGGGAGGGGGAAAATAGAGATAGGGCAAAAGCTTCCAGATGCAACTTCTCAGAAAGCTGAGGCTGCTCTTGGATTTCTCCCCATGTCAAAGCCAGACTACCAGAGCCTAGACTTCCCTTTAGCCAAACCAGATGCAGTCTTGGTCCAACAAGCATCTTTCAGGCATGAATTCATTAACCATTTATTAGATCCCTAACTTGTGCTAAGCAGTAAAGCACCCCTCAGATCATCATCATTAAGATCATCTTACTAAGGGTTCTAGTTGAGGTAGGTGCACTGAGCATCCAAAGGTCAGGGGAAGAGTCACAGAGAAGCATGGTGAGCTCTGCCTCAAAGAATGGCTTAGAAATTGGCAAAGCAAGAATGCTTCAGGCAGAAGGAACCACAAGTGCAAAGCCATGGAGTCATGACAGTGTCTGGAGTGCATGGGACATAGGGAGCCTGTTTTGGGCAGTGAAACTGGAGAGTTAGATGAGGCCGGGGTTTTGGAGGGTCTGGTTACCAGAATACAGGGTTTAGACTTTGTCACAAAGTGGTGGGAAGCTAAAAAAGGTCTTTGAGCAGTAGTAGGATATGATTTGATCTATATGTTGGAAAGGTCTCCCTAGATATGAATAGGGGAAACCCAAGGAAAAAGATTAAATGCAGAAAGACCAGGTTTCAGGCTTACAGGAGTGAGCACACAGCCTACACACTGAGCCATACACAGGGCTCTATTTAATACTAAAATCCCTGCCAGAATTTTTTAAATCCTTATCATTGGCTCCCCTCCCCTGCCCCCACAGCTTGCTTTTAAATTAACCCCCTGACACCATTTTCTGGAGAATGAATCATGGCCCCAGTGAGCATTAACACTCAGGCCCTTCTTGGCTGGCAGATAGACTCAGAGCTTCAAACCCTACAGCAGCTGCAAGACCATGCAGATGCCATAAATGAGGCTTGCAATATGCAGGGGAGGCAGCAAGCTCTCTTGGAGGGTGCCTGTTGTCTGAGCCTCACTTTCAGCTGAAGAGATAAGAACCTACAACTGTGGCCACAGGAAATGACAAAGCAGTGACTGATCGGGGAGCTGCCACACAGGGCTTATTATGGCGCTTGCCAGAGGGCGAGACACCCTTATCATGGAGAAAATTGCATCAGGCCTCCTGAATTACTAGCGATTGGAAGCAGATTTCTTGGGACGCACTTTGTTAGATACCTAATGAGAAGGATACAGGCTAGCAAAGCCCAAAGCTGGCAGGGCGGGGTACAAATGTCTTTGTTAAACAGAATTTGTCAGTTTCCGCTCCAGGCTCCCTGGAGAGAGTTCAGGGCCGACTAATTGAATTAAGAGATTGTGTGCTCCAGCGGGAAGGCTCAGGGCGGGGCGAGAGGCAAGCAGGCCGGAAGGTGGGCGCTTTCAGCACCAAGGACAGCAGCTGCAACCTGGCTAGTCTGTAATTGCCAGGGCAGGGCTGGAACTGTTGTATTTTGCATGATCAGGGATCTGGGGGATGAAATGGGTAGGAGGGAAGCAGAGGATGTTTGGGTAGGAGGGAAGTGGAGGAGGGAGAAACAGATGACCCAAGAAGCCTTGAGCTTGTGATGCTATTAGCCTTTTCTGTCCCAATAGACCTTCCTGCAGGCAACAACAGTAAGGCTGAGAGGCAGAGAAAAGAGTGTCTTCTCCCCACCATGGCACTCATGTGGTGTGGGGCAGCTGAGGCAGCAAAAGGAATGGTGGGCTAGAGGCCAATTCTGAATCAGTGCATGGCTGTGCACTGCTTTGAGCTTTCAAAGTAGGCCTCCAATTACAACCTTAATGAAGCAGGATGTGCTGCAGCCATGGAGGCACAGAACAAGGGACCTCTTGTCAGCCCCAAGCTGCCTCAGCCTTTCCTTTCCTCCTTCTCAGAACATCCCCCAACCACTCACTAGAGACTGACAGAGTGAAGATCCTGGATGGGACTGAGGGTCCAGTCTCATTTTTATTTTATCTTTGTGATGAAATTAAATGAATTATGCGTAATAAATTTCAGAATCCACATAAAAGTACCTGGTGAGTGCTCAGGTCCAGCCAGGAGCCCCGTAAATGTCAGCTCTGGGTCACTGAGTTGACACAGCTAGTGCTGGGGCCACACAGGGTAGATGTCAAGGAGATAGACTGTGGGGGAGGGGACTTCCTCAGCAAAGTGCCCTTGCTTTCAGAACTGATGGGACACCTCTGGAGACCTCTCCCTGGATTTCATTACCTCTACTTCCTCCTCTAACTGTATTAGATGGCAGTCTATGAAATCCGGGACATCAAAATTGGCTTTCTGCCTGGAAATTAGGAGAAATGTCATTATAAGTCCTGAATAAGCATCTCACCCCAGCCCCAGAGGCCACTTCATCAATGGAGAGTTAGTCTTTGCCCTGGATGGTTACTCTTTTCTTCATTCTATCCTCCATCCATCCATCCATCCATCCATCCATCCATCCATCCATCCATCCAATATACATTCTATTGTTCTCCCTCTGCAGCCAGTCTGGTGTTCAGCTTTTCTACACAAGAGACATGGTGGTTTTTGCCATATAAAACACACAACCAAAAATCCCCAAACCATCTGACTCGGATACTACACAGAGGCACTGGGCATGTTCATTGAGGAGCCTCCAAATGAATCTCACCCTCCTTGAACCATAGCTACTGAGAAGAGCAAGTGAGAGAGACAGCCAAGCCTAATGCCCAGGGACCAAACAGGCCCAGAAGTCTTGGTTATGAAGTGCAGTAGGTGCTGTAGTC